TCTAAGAGGCGAAGGAGAAATATGAACATGTTGAGGTATAAGTGGAAGTTAAGATATAAGGAGATGAAGGAAAAAAGTGTGAAATATTTAAAATAAAATATAAAATATTATTTTTCCCATTTTTTTTTCATTTCTGACATCATGTTTGAATAAATGCTTATGCTGTTGTTTCTAACATGGCCTTGTGTTGGGACACAAGTTCTATACTGACACAAATTTAAAAGTTAGAAGAAACTTAAACATCACATTAGTTTACTATAAATATGTTTTACTATTCATACAATATTATACTGGTGCACAAGTTATTTTATGTATGTATATTGAATTATGTAGTATATTTCGAGTAAACTACAAAGTAAGTATTGCTCACCCATACTTTATATATGCGTGTTATTTTCAGGAAGGATAAGACTCAATTTGAGTAGAGATTTCTTATATCAATTGGGACCCAGATTAGGTATGTTTATTTTATAGTCTAATTATTTTGACATTCAAGGTGACTAAATATGATTAGGTGGAAAGAGAGCTAGACCATGACTGTTATGTATAACTCTTTTGATTTTTATCTTGTGAAGCAAAAGAAAGAATGTCAATATTGTTAATTATTGTTTATTTGATGATATATAAAGGCTCTATATTTGAAAATATTGAAGTATATATATATATATATGAAGAGTAAGTTCCATTGACTTAAGATAAATGATTAGATTTAGAGTAAGGGATGATGATATAAACCCATTATAAAGAGGGTAGGAGTAGAAGATGATGTGCCAATGCTAGGTAAAATGAGGAAAACAATAGCCAAGTCCTAGCCATAGCAAAAATGTTTTTGTGTGCATGTGTGTTTGTATGTGTGTGTGCGTGAGAGAGAGAGAGAGAGAGAGAGAGAGAGAGAGAGAGAGAGAGAGAGAGAGAGAGAAAATATCTATCTATTTTGAATTATGTCATATTATCATAGCTAGGACTTTGATATTTTTTAAAAAACTATTTTCAAAATTTTATAAGGGAAATTTTCTTAATCCTTAGGTTTTTAGGATGCCCATTCTTTCCATTTAAATGCATAATTAAGGTCAAGAAGCTTTATATTAGACAACATTGTGCCTCAAAGATAAACAAAAGAAAGTCAAATAAATAGTTATAAGCCTTAGAATTCTCATTTATGTATTTAAACTTAACCAAACATTAAATAAGTATAAATTCTAATATAATAACAATGTTAAACAATTTATAAAAAATTAAAAATTGAAATTTAAAGAATTCATGTATACTATTAATATTAATATTTACATGCTCTATATGAAATTAAAAAAAAATATTCATATATGTTAATATAATTTATGATGAGTAGAAATAAATATAATTTGTATAAATTCATTAGCAAAATACAGTATGATTGTTCTAAAAATGGCCCTGAATTTTAAAACTTACAGTTTGATTTGATGTTGCTTGGCACGTGCCAGATTTGTGGTGATTGGACAAGTCTGAAGGCCGGCTTGAGTGGCTCCCACTCAAAAAATTTAGCCTGACTTCCAAATCGACCTTACGTATAACAAACTATCTACAGCTCCATCATTAATGACAAAATTAAGGTATTTTATTAAGGATTATAATAATTTGTTTTTTAAATTACTTTATGGTATTTTAGGATGTCAATCTGAATTTGTAATCGGGTTTTTGACTGATCTGAAATTAATACGACTCAATTATGTTCGACCTAAAATTGACTAATTTATCATAGAGCTCGACTTGCCAGTGAAAATGAGCTCGACCAGCTTCTCAATTTCGTGATTCGCACGCAGATGTTGGTCGATCTGTTGTTCGCACATGATTCCCATGCGCTTCTGCAGGTCGAACGTAACACATGCTTTCACTTCTGGTTCATCCCACGTCATTCTGCCTTCAGTCTTCCTCGTTCAAGGCCCGCCCCCGCTATTTCACATTTGAGCCGCTCGACGAGTAATCGAGTCAAGCCTTCCACCGTTCGAACATGAGCTAGACAATCTAACGAACTCAAAATTTTACTCGAGGTTGAGTTTGAAACTCTATAAGCTTGACTCATGAGCTCGAACTCGCTTGCGAGTTGGCTTGACTCATTTGCACCCCTAAACCTAAATTATAGCTAAAAAATTAATTGCATGAGTCAAATTTTTAATCCGAACACAACATTAAAATTAACCGAATCAATCCCAAACTTGAATCTATTCGAACATGAGCTAGACAATCTAACGAACTCGAAATTTTACTCGAGGTTGAGTTTGAAACTCTATAAGCTTGACTCATGAGCTCGAACTCGCTTGCGAGTTGGCTTGACTCATTTGCACCCCTAAACCTTAAAAATAGCTAAAAATTTAATTGAGTCAAAATTTTAATCCAAACACAACATTAAAATTAACCGAATCAATCCCAAACTTGAATTTTTTTATTTTGTTCATTTTTTGTCCGTCATTGTCACATATATTAAATATCATATTTTACTTAGACCATTAGAAGCAAAATAATTACAAAATAATTTAAAAAATCCCTTTAAAATTTTATCCCCATAACTTCACATAATTTTAACATCATGTCTATATATAGAGTCAAAATATAAAATTTAAGAAATAAAACCAAAGAAATAAAAAGGTATGATTTAAAATATTATTACTTTATTATTCTTACAATAAAATAAATTTAAAACTTTTATATTTATTTTAAATAAAAATTTAATCAAAATATTATGCTATCATTTTTTTATATATATATATAAGCAAAAAATTGTTTGATGATGTGATAAAATTTTATTAATAATATTTAAAAGATGAATAAATAACAATTTTTAAATGTGAATAAATCTATTCATTCTATTGATAATAATATGGTCAAAAAATTTTGATTAAAATTTAGAAATAAGTATTAATGTTATAAATAAAGATTTTAGCTAAAATTATGAAAGAATTATGCCTAAACACTACAAATATACACTCATTTTTCACTTGAACCTTGACTTAAAATTGATAAAAGTTTATAGGTTCGAAAAATAATAGGGCTTCCCTTGATGTTTGATGTCGACAATCACCCCTGGTAACCACCATTGTTGAACCAATGATGCATATTCATTATTATTTAGTAGTCCTATCCGGACTTTCATTGCTCGACCATATCATCCAACCATTGTTTACTTATATCACATATAAATCTTATATTAAGTTATATTATCATATTTGTTTAGGAGCTCCATATAATGCTAAGATGATACACTCTCTTTTCCTATACTACCATGAATATATTCAACTATACTACCATGAATTGTCCAATGCACAATTATTTGGCACCATATATGGGAAATGCTTCTATGAAGGCACTAGTAAGGAAGCTTTGATGGAAACTTGTGTTAGATAAGGTACTTACTAGGAAGATCCCTTAAGAGTACGTGACAAAAGGGTCTTCACTCTAAACCCCTAAAACTTATATACAATGAAACTTAATGAGAAAATAATAGATAAAAGGTCCTTGATAGAAAGACACCATGTATCTGGTGATTGATAGAGTCCAAACTCATTTAAAAATCTTAGAAGACATAAGTCTTAGAAGGTACAAATTATTTCTCAAAATATCAAAAGTTTTAAGCCTTAGAATGTGAATATTTTTTTCCTTAAGATATCATAAGGCATAAGCCTAAAAATACACATTATTCACCATAAAAAAAAAAAAAAAACTTAAGAAAATCACTTATTACCGATGGATTTACCCTACATAATTTGTGACTTTTCTAGGGATTTCTTCGTTTCCGATGGCATTGTACAGCTAGAAATTTTGCTAGTATTGTACCACTAAACATTCTGCCGGTATTCGGTGATTTTCCTGTAGTAGATTAAGCCTTTGAAGGTACACATTTTTATCTCATCAAAAGTTTTTAGAAGGCAGAAGCCAAAAAAGTTCCAAGTTCTCCACCATCTATAAATTTTAAAAGATATAAACCTTAGAAGGTACATGCATTTTACTTATAAAAAAAACTTAAAAGGCATAATCTTAGAAGGTACATGCATTTTATTTTAAAATCTTAAAAGATATAAGCCCTAGAAGGTATGCACATTTTATTCATCATAAACCTCATAAGACATAAGTCTTAGAAAATACATAAACCTTATTTACATTAAAAGAATATATTAACTTTTATTACAAGTTGTCCAATGATAAAATTTGGAGATGTCATATACTGTAAGGACATCTGAAGCGCTTAGTTTTCTAAAAAAAATCTTAAACAGTATTATAGAAAAATTAAGAGCTCTTTATAATTCTTATATCAACTTTATTATAAAGACCAATCAAACTTTATATTAAGACATGAATAAATAGGCATTCAAAGGATAAATAAATAAGATCTCATATTTTATAACTGCAACAAAATTTCTATAATAATAATAAAATGCAAGAATTATTGATTAATATTCACTCAAAAATTTTCTTAGAACTAACTATGTTGAGAATAATTACAAGTTTTTCTATGAAGCATCTATACATCAACAGATGAATCTCCAAAAAATTTTAACTCATTTTGAGTAGGAGGTAAATCAAATACATTGTTATACTAGTAGTAACAGAGAATTCAATAATATCATACTAATAGAATATTATTATAAGAATTTTGTATACATTTCTTTTAACACATTGTAATCAAATCCATTAGGATCAAAATAATTGAACTATGTTAAGAAAAATAATTATATAAAGTTCCTAAGAATATAGGTTATTGAAAAAAAGAATCTAAAAATAGTTTGTCTCTTAAGTACTGCATGTAACCTCTTGCAATTTTGGGACATTTTTTTAAAAACCAAGGGCATCATTTACTAGAACACATACACTCCACTATGTGGTAATCCAAACTCTTAACTATCAAGATATAATACATGAAAGTCGTGTATTTCCGACAGAAAATTATGAATTTTTTGGCAGATTTCGAAAATTATCCATCTCGCGCCCTCCCGCGCCTGTTTGCGCCTAGCGGGTCATCCTACACCCACTTGCGACCAGCGGGTGGCGCCCAGCAGGCCCAAATAGCTGTGCAAGTGAGTCATCAATCCCGTGCCTGCTCACGTGCAGCGGGCCCGCGTAGCCATCCCAGCGGGCCATCTTGCATCTGCAACCTTCCCGTTCGTGCCCAACGGGCCCTCATAGTTGCGCCCTACGAGATTCGAACCCAGCACTTCCCATTTCTCGCGTGCTAGGCCGACCACCACGCCATACCTGCAAAATTGTTTTAAATGATAATTTTTTTTATTTTTGTTAAAACTTACAGAATATTACAATTAAAACTAATTATTAAATTTATTATTTAAATTGATAATCAAAATAAGTTATTTAGGTAACAATTATATAAATTATGTTATTAAATTAATAAATAATTAATAAATAATTATTAAAGTAATAATTAATTAAAATAAACTATAAATTATTTGTTAATTAAATTACAAATAAATGGTATTTTCAGAGAATAGTAAAATTCGTCAGAAAGTCCTCCGGAAAACAATCCGCTGAAAAATCTGTTTGGAAATATGTCGGAAATATTTCGAAGTAATACGTTAGAAATTTGCCAGAAATTTTGTCGATTATGGGAGATTTTTCTGTATTAATATTACCCTCTTTGGCCTAATTTCTCGTGATTTTATCTCATTGGTATAACTGCCCAGAATGTCATCTATCTCATGATTGCTCCTGCATGAGTATACTTAACTTTGGAGTTTCTTAATAAAATTTCAACAATTACATTAAAATGTGCATAGATATTTAAGAGTATAACTAATTATTTTTACTTAGTGGGTTTCACAATATCCCCAACTAAAGTTATTGACATATTCTTTATCTCAAAATTATTCACAAGGAGAAATCTAAATGTGACCTCTATAAGTTCAAGTGGTGGCTCCCATCATGTAGCACTTTGTCTCATATATGATTAAAGTGGTGGCTCCTATGACATAACACTTTATCTTGTATGACATGTAGTTCTCATCTTCCAGCTTGTGTAATTATTTAATACTATTTTGTGACAACACAAACTCTTAACTATCGAGGTATTGTCCACATTGACCTAAATGCCTCATAATTTTGTCTCATTGGTGTAACTCCCCAGGAGTTACTCACCCCAAGGCATATGAGCACGCTTAACTTCTAAAATTTTAATAAAATTCTAACAATTACATCAAAAAACACCTCGATCAATGTTTAAGAGTTCAATTTTTTTTTACTCAAGCGATTTCACATACAATCACTATTGCAAAATAATAGATTAGAGACCATATAAGCGTATGAGCTATAGAAATAACCTTGATGTTGATATAATACATTTCCAACATGAAATCAAACTTGACTCTTTCGATAATGTAGGCAAACACGTGTAGAGTGTGGTCATTATTTATCCTAATAAATCAAATGAAACCATTTCATTCAATATAATGAGGAAAAATTAGGTTGGAACCTAAAGCTTGAACTTAACTCCAACAAAATTTTGAAACTTTATTCCGAAGAAATTGTGAAAAGTAAATTTTAATAGAGCTTCAAACTAGTTTTGAGTAGGGATTGAATATGGTTCAGAAAAGAAATCTTTTATTGTTTGCGTTATTAATTACTCAACGGGACAGTTGGGAAAATCTTACACAGGAGAAGTTTGACGTTTGCAGTTGAACACTCAAGCTGCTGACAGTCAAAGCTGCTCATCTATAGTCCTTCACTACGTATTCTTTTATTGGCGCAGCTGCATTGGAAATAGCTTTTCATCTTCTTCTTCTTCTTCTTCGTTTTTTCAAAAAATTTTACACAGATGATTATGAGTACGTACGATGTTGAAAGGACCACTTCCATCTAATTTATTGCATTATTATGCAAGCACAAAAATTTTCATTCCATTTGAGCAATTGTACACCATAAAATATTTAATTTTTTACCTATCTATCCAAAGCATCTATTATGAAGATAATTTTATGTATGATTAGAATTTTATTTGGGATAATTTTTTTGTTGCTTTGTAAAATTGTTTTTCAAGAAATTTTTTACTAGAAATTTTCTTTAGAAAATAGTAAGAAAGCTGTCCCAAACGGAGCCTAAATCATCATGAAATTTTATAGAATTTAGTTTGCTACTATGTTTATAATGTAGTTTAAAGTGATTTGTCTTAGCTAATTAATTAAATATTAAATCATTATTTGATTAAAAGCTTTTTAGAAGAATTTTGCAAAAAAAAAAAAAAAGAAGAATTACACTCTTTTATGATAGTCAAAGAGCAATTTATTTTGAGAGAAAAAATGAAGTTTTTTTCATTTGAGACGAGGAGGTGTTAAATTTGGACACTTTTTGCCTCAATTTTCACTATTTTTGTGACATATAATTTTATTTGTATGCTTTATAAGAAAATGAAGATGGTTAAAAGTCGTAAGAATTTTGCTAGCTACTTACCTCCTCTTAATCAACGACTATGATTTCCCAACCATTGTTACTCATATATGACCTCCCATCCACTATGACCAGACAATAGTTGCTCATCCATCAATACCCAAGTTTGATCTTTCGACCAAGCCACTCGGCTATGGTCTTCAGACCATAACACCTATTTACCATCTCACAACCATCATAGCCTAAATATGATCTCCAAACCATCGTCGCCCTACTATAGTTTGCCTACCGCTATCACACGGTTATAGTTGTTGGAATTTGATCTCTCAACCATTATGGACTTAATACCATCGCTCAGCCAACCTCACCATATTATGTTCTTTCGAGCATCCTCACCAACAATAGTCTCTTGAGCTTCTTTTGTCGATTATCATCTCCTAACCACCAACAACCAACTGTATTTTCTAAACCACCATCAACAAACTATATTCTTTTAAACACCATCATCAAATTATGATCTTCTAAGTACCATATATCTCCCGATAATGAACTCTTGGCCACCATTGTCTAACTGTAACCAAACCTTTATAACTCAACTATGACCTACTGACTACCATCATCTGATAATGGTCATGCACAACTTTGATCTCTAGACTCCTATTTCATGAATAAAATCTATCGATTATGATTGCTTGACTACAATATCCCGACCATCCCTGATTGTTTATAATCTCCAAACCACCATCACGGACTATCACTACAAGATAAATGCTCATTTTCGGTTGAAATAAATCCGTTAGAAATTATGGCTGATTTTTCGGTGTTTTCCCTAACAAAATATTTCCGACATTTTTGTCAGCAAATTTTTCTGAAGGAATTTTGGATTTTTTGTAAAATATTTAGTATTAAGTTTTAAAATTATTCATTTTGTTAAATAAATTTAATTAAACTAATTTTGTTTAACTAAAATATTAAAAAAAATTAATTATTATTATTATGTTTAGTGTAATTTTTTATAATTATTCTTTTTGTTAAATAAAATTAATTATACTAAACAGTGCTAAGCTTAAATAATAAAAAAAAATTTATTAATTGTTCATTTTGTCAAATAAAATTAATTAAAGAAAATATTGTTAAAAAAATAAGTAAACAAAATATTATTAAAAATTAATTAAATAAAATATTATTATTTTAAATAATTATTAGTATGTCAAATAGATTAAATAATATAAACATAATATCAAATATAAATAATATAAATTAAGAATAATTTAAATAAAAATGCAACAAATAAAACATAATATGCATAAGAACTCAGGCGGTTGGGTAGGAGGGTGGCAATGCAACACAGGCAGGTGGGTTAGCTAGCGGGACTTGTTCACGGTCCCATGGGTTTGCAGGGGGGCCTAGTTCACGGGCATGGTTAGTTCGTGGGCGATCCTTGTTTACAGGCCGCAGAGATGGCAGCTTAGTATCTGCGACTAGTTCACAGGCCCACGGGCAGCCCTCGATCACAGGCCAACGGTGATGGAAGCTGACCCACCTAAGACAATTTTTTAAAAAAAACTTTTGTCTAGGCCATTTCCAACGGATTTTTTTATAGTGTTTGTTTTCATACAGGTGAATTACCATCGGATAATTTTTTGTAGGAAATAAGACAAAAATGTAAATTACCAATAGATTTTATCCATTTTCCAGCAAAAATGACCCACCATAAAATGACATTTTTCCTATAGTGTATGGTTTACCAACACATTTATATGACTACAGTCGCTAGACCATTATCACCCGATTGTAGAATCTCAAACTTATATCACTAAGCTTTAGTATTTAGACCAATATTATTTGATTATGACTTCTCAATCTCTATTATTCAACTATAATCTCTCAACAACAATCAATTGATTATAATCTTCCAACTACCATTGCTTGACAACGTTGTCCCGACCATTGTTGCTCAATTATGGTCACTCAACCACGATAGTCTAACTATAGGGTCATGACCACCATATCTGATGATGGCCTCTTGACAATAATCTACCAGCTTTAATCATTAGACCAATATCACCCAATTGGATTTTTCTGTCCATTATTGTTAAATTATAGTCCCTTTAGTATTATTTTGTAATTACTATCAACTAACTTTAGTCTTGTAATCACTATTGCCAAATTACAATCTCATAACCACTGCCACCTAACCACGTACATTCTCTTGATCATTTTCTACTAACTACAATCTCCTAATTATCGACACTTGATGTTGATCTCCTAACCATCATTATCTGATAATGACCTTTTAATTACCATTCACTGGCCATCATCATCCAACTTAAGTTTTACAACCATAGATATCTAACTATGGTCTCCTAGTTGACGTCACATAACTATAGTATACCAACCATCGTTGCCTAATTATAGTCTCTTGACCTTCATCAGTTGATTATTATTTCCAAATTATATTCTCTTAACTACTATTACTCTACTATGATCTTCAGAACACCATCATCAAATTATGATTTCTTGATCACCATTGTTCTGCTATAATTTCCTAGCCACCATCTTTTAACTATGATCTCCCAACCAGCAATACCCAACTAAGGTTTCTCAAACACAATCATCTAATAATAGTCTCTCAACCACTGTCGATTGACTACAATTTCCTAACCACCACCATCACCCGACTATGATCTCTTGACCATCGTTTTTCGATTATAAACTCTTGGCCACTAGTGTTAAAGTATCATCTC